AGGGGGTCAGTGGGGCGAAGGCTGGGTGGCAGAGGAGATCTTCAGTCCTTTTGGCTATACCTGCCTGGAATAGAGTTTCTGCAACACAGGGTTGGCGGCAGATAACAAAGGCAGAAAGCTGCCTGTCAGGGTCAAACTGTAGGCCCAGACTGGGAGCTGAGGGAACAGGGAGCCCTACCTACCCCATCATCTTCACCATACCTGCCCAGAATAGAGCATCCAGGGTGGAACACTCAGGTAACACTGGGTGGGGGTGGGGGAGTATGGCACAGGTTGTTTCTCAAAGGCCACAACTCTTGCTGTGCTTATCAAGATTTAAAAGATTGTCGGCCAGGCGTGGTGTCTCACGCCTGTAATCCTAGCTCTCTGGGAGGCCGAGGCGGGCGGATTGTTTGAGCTCAGGAGTTCGAAACCAGCCTGAGCAAGAGCGAGACCCCGTCTCTACTAAAAATACAAAGAAATTAATTGGACAACTAAAAATACATAGAAAAAATTAGCTGGGCATGGTGGCACATGCCTGTAGTCCCAGCTACTCGGGAGGCTGAGGCAGGAGGATCGCTCGAGCCCAGGAGTTTGAGGTTGCTGTGAGCTAGGCTGACGCCACGGCACTCTAGCCCGGGCAACACAGTGAGACTCTGTCTCAAAAAAAAAAAAAAGAAAAAAGATTTAATAGATTGTCCTGAATGAATGTTTCTCCATTTCCATTTCCTATATGTCCTTAGGACAATTATCAGAGACTTTAAATGATTGCTTTTTTAAAAACAATTTTTACCAGTTAAAGTGTTGTTTTGCCAGGGAAAGGGTCTACTGAGCTCCTTACTTTGCCATTCTGGAAGTCCCGCCCTTCAATTTATTTTTTAATATAACTTCTGAGTGGAAATGTGGTACAACAGGAGGAATGGACTGGGGGTCAGGAGCCAGGGTTTTCATCCCAACTTGGTCTCTAGCAAGCTCAGTACTTCTCCTGAAGTTCAGTTTTCTCATTTGTAGAATGAGGGAATTGTATTAAGTGACCCCTAAACTCCTTCCAAGTTTAAAATCTTATAATTTTATGAAATAGAAATGCAATAGAAAGTCATCAGTGAAAAACACTCAACTGTGGCTGTGTAAGAACACAAAAAAATGAAAACAATCCACTGATGTTTTTTTAACCAAAAATGTTCCAACCTGTTTTTAATTAGAACATGCACTTCATTTCCAACTCTTTCCAGCTAACCAAAATGCTAGTTTATTGCACAGTTTGCAGTCAAGACATTTCTCCGCCCTTCTTTCTTAATCGTTAGAACTGAGAAACTGGGGGCAATAGAAACTTGCCTTTCAATGATTGGTCATCAAAAATATGACAGCTTAATGCTAACTGAAAGCACTATAATTTGCTACCATTTTACCCACATTATGAGCTCTGCTAACAATTACCTTCTCTCTGAAACAATTCCAAGTTTTCACCTTCTGCATATGGCTGTAAGGCCATATGCCCAGAGTAACCATTAATTATCTGTACTTATTCTGAGTGCATGAATTACAAAATATTAGTTTTCCCTGGGCACTGCAGAAAAGAGTGGCTTCAGTGGGATACCCATTTCTAATCACAAAGACACATTTATTTAATAATGATTATCTACACAGATTGCTATAAACAATAAAACTGTGGTTAAGGGCCTCTCCTGGCTGGGTTGTTTTAACTAACCAGTTTAACAAGTTTATTTGACTTAATATTGTCATTTACTATATAATTTACATTCAAAATCTATATACTCAAAGAAGGGAAAGAAGGAACCTTTCTATAATTTAAAAAAAACTACAATTGTAAACATAATTAAATGCTTTCAACTACTAATCTATAATAGAATATCCTGTAATAAAGCTGCCAGGTAAGAGAATTGTGAATATACGCTGGCAAAAGTTGCTACTCACTGACACATTCAGCAAGCGGGAAGGATAAGAATAAGATGCCAGTATGGACAAAGTGATCCAGAAACAAGGAATCATACAATCTTTAAATACCTTGCCTTTAAAGCAAAATATATTTTTAAAACAATCATCTTCGCAAACTGAGCTTTGTCAACATCTAAGGGAAAGACAAAATTTTTTCTTAAGATATATAAAAGGTGCAAATCCCTGTAGAGGAAAAATAAATGCAGATCTTGAGCTTGTTCATGTCCAAATGCTAAGGCCTCTTTCTGATTCTCACAAGTGACCCTCAGACTTGAGCTGTTAAAAAATTTCCAAATGAGCCCATCTGCTCGCCAAGATATTTCTATGTTAAGAACCTTCAGTAAGGCATCTGGCCCAGTTTTTATAATCCCAAATTACCTTGGTTTCAATTTAATTTTTGTAAACCGGGATTCCCTTAGGAATAAAGTAAAATTTTCAATCTTTAAAATAAAGGGATGTAAGAAATAAAACCCTATCACCTTGTTCCATTTTCAGAGCCTTATTCTACAACTGTAGGTTATTCATCCTAATACATTAAAAAACATTATGTTACAACACTGATTTGGAAATTTATAAACTTTATCCTTTTGTGTGAGTATGTAATATTGTAATGTAAAATTAGTAGATTATAATTAAATGCCCTTTTTCTTGGCATTTCCTCTGAATGAATCATCCTAGGAGGCTTTTCTTTCATCTTAATTTGTCTATATTTCCCTGTATAGAACCACCTTAATATGATGTGATTAAGAGAAATGTCTTTAAGACTCAGTTATGGCCCGTACAATAACCGTTTTTCAGGCTATTTAAGTTTTTATTAGCTGAAAATAATAGTTAATGACCACAATGGCCTAGGGATCACCTGTAATCATATGCAAAGAAAATAGTTTTAAATCTCTTAGTGGGGAAATTATTCACACCCTGAAAACATTCCTACCCTTGTAGGACTAAATGTTCCTCATATTACAAAATAACTTACTTTGAACACTACTATTCACACTTCAAAATGAACTATAACTGACAGTTACTTCAATCTTACCTGCTTGTTTATGCAACTAAGCTAAATCTTTTCCATCAGCATCATTGGAAATATAGAAGGAATTAACATAGAAGCAAAATTTCTATTTAGACATTTAACCATATTTCCAGTAATGCAGCTGATTTATTCAAGGGAAGTGTTTTTTTTCCCCCTCAGAAGAACAATTTCTTCAGAGTAAGAAATGTCAAAAACAAAACAAAACAAAACAAAAACCTAACCCATTTTGCAGTTGATTATGCATCTCAGTGTTAACTCCTACTTTAAAAGTGAGATCCTACATTGCTTACTCTGGTATCAAAGACCATGAAATACTGGCTTCATGTTACTTATCAAATTGCCTTTATATAACAAAAGTGGACATCCAAGTTAGATAAGTTTAGATATCCATCCATCAATATCAACAATACAAAACATAAAAAAAAATTTCTTCCATATCGAATTATTATTTAAAATACCTTAAAACCATAAACCAATAAAATAAGTACTCAGGATCTTTTCTGAGAAACAAAACCTCAGTGTATATGGTTACGTGGTTATTTATGAGATGCAGAAGTTTTCAAACCGAATGATTACTACCAAACAAATTAAAGCAAATTCATATTGGAAAAGAAAAGAACTTTCTAAGTGAACATACACCAACATTTTAGTTATTTCTAGTAGGTAAAACTTTTTTTTTCCTGTTTTATTTTCCCAGCTAAAATTTGATTATATTGTTTGGGTTCTTCCTTGTTATGTTAGGCTTAAAGAAACTCATTAAATTACTAAAAAGGAAGGTAAGACCCTGTAATAAAGCGATTCTGAAGCATCAACACAGATTAAGAGTCCTGATCATCTAAAAGGGTATATATATGTAATACTCACCTAATTACCTAAAGGTCTTTAATGGTTTTTTAAGTGGACATTGATTTATACACATGTGAGCATGTACATGTACATACATGTGCATGTACAACATCCCATTTACTTGTTTCTTTGTATAACTTCAGATAGCAAAAGCAGTGAATTTAAGATAGAAATAGAAGACATTAACTTCCTAAGCTTTTTAGATCCCTCCCAGTATAGCAACTCTCAAATTGCATCAGGGTTTGTAAGTCTTTGAAGAAAAATGTGGCCAGACACGATAGCTCATGCCTGTAATTCCAGCACTTTGGGAGGCCACAGTGGGAGGATCACTTGAGGCCAGGAGTTTGAGACCAGCCTGGGCAACGTAGACCTCATCTCTATAAAAAAAAAAAAATTAAAAAAATTAGCTGGGTGTAGGGGCACACACCTGCAGTCCCAGCTACTTGGGAGGCTGTGGCAGGAGGATCACTTGAGCCCAGGGGTTTGAGGTTCCAGCCTGGGCAACAGAGTGAGACCCTGTCTCAAAAAATAAAAAATAAAAATAGAAGTAAAATAAAAGAAAGAAAATGTATAAATTTTGGTCCAAAGCAAAAAAAGTGCCTCATTTTGGTGGAAACATAAAATTCCAGTCACTAGATGATAGTTACAGTGCTGCTTAATGATGAAGAATATTCTGCATACCAACATGACAATTAAGATTTTTCCTCCAAAAAGTACATAGTTGCAAATACTTCGAAAATTCTAAGTATATGTATCTATCAAGTAAGACACTGAATTATAAATGCATGTCTATTTCTGACAAGTTTTAACTTTAAATGTGTTTATAAATTCATTTTAACATCAATGAAGTATTTCACTTGGAGGGAGGAGGGAAAAGAAACAATGAACCTACACTATCCTCTTTTTCTTTAAGAAACATTTTCCCTCTAAATTGTTAACATAAAGGAAGTTTAACCAACTACAAAAATTTGAAAACCAATCTGATTTGTCTGGTTATGGATATCAAAGGAACGTTAGGCCTCAAAAAGGGTAATGCTAACAAAAATTATGCATTGAGCACAACCAGGGCAATAACAAGAAAATAATTTGGGGATAAATGCAGATACCACATTAAATAGCTTGTGAAAGATGTAAAACTCAAATCCCCTCTTAAGTAAATCTCATCTAAAAGAAGGATTGTAGAAAATGGGAATGTATGATTTTTTTTAATAAACAATTATGCTTCAGTGCAAATGTATAGTCCAAAACAAAAAAGAAAAGAAAAACGTCTCATGTGACTTAGCAGGAACAGTTTCCACAGCCTTTCACACTGTTGATAATTTCTTCTTGTAGTTTCTTCCTTTCCTCCTCTTTGGACACATTTTCTTTCTTTGCAACCCATTTGGGGTTATCATGGTTCTGCACACGGCTACTCTGTGTATGCCACATTTCTGAATAGATACTGCTAGGGTTAGCAAGCAAGCCATGGTGGGTACCACGTTCGGCTACCTTACCCTAAAAAGCAAACATACAGAAAGGTCATTTAACTAGCATAATAACTGAAAATACATAATACTTTCTAACTAAGAATTCTGAAGGATTTGCATTCATTAAAATACCTCTCCCAAGTGGTCGTCCACAGTATAAGTGGGAAAAACTTAGGTAGGAATGTCTTTTTCACTGTTGAGCTACCCAGTCCCAGTGAACAAACAAAAAGCTATGAAATTTCTAATACCATAAACACCATTTTACTTAAAGGAAATGAAATTTTAATGTTTTATTTTTAATTCTGGAGGGCAGAAAGGTAAAGTTAAAGGTATACGAAGGTGATATTTTCTGTAATCTGCAAATATTCAAATCAAAAGCACTGTTATTTATACAGGGATTTAAAAATAATATCCTGAAATCCTTATGTGTACTTTGAAATAAAAAAGATTTCATGAAATAAAAAAGATTTCATGAAAACGAGAAGTTTACTTCTTCCAGTAGCTATTTTTGTTAACAATGGTTATTAAACTTAACACTGCACAGATTTGGTATAAATTCCAAACTCTGATCTACAATTAATTTGTCTCTTGACAGCTATTGTTAAACATTCTGGGAGAAAAAGGAATTTTATCACTTTTACTGATACTCCTGGTGATAGAACTCTTACGATATACCCTTAAGCAAAATAACTGAAATTTGTCCATGCCTATGTCTGAGTACTTACATATAAGACTATACTGTTATTTCTTGATTTATTAATTTCTGGCATTATCTACTGACTTCATATTGTGGAAGATGGAGACTCAGCACTTATACTATCCACATTCCCACTGCTCCATTCTTCACTTTCCTAATAACATCAGTTATATCACAAATTGTGGTTCAGTGTTTACCTTAATATGACTAGGTAAGTACTTCCTGTTGAGCCAAGTATGTTCTGGGATTTTACACATATTTTCTCATATAGTTTTTTATTCTTCCTAGATTTAGTAACTTCATTTGCTTATTTTTCTATGTCAATATTGGAAATTTCTCCAAAGTTTATTGGAGAATTATAAAACCCTTCTGAATACAATTTTTTTCATAATCAACTATATTAGGTAATCGATTAGTTCATTTCCCCCCACTCCCTGGAGATATTGCTCTCAGAGCTTTTAGGTTCTTTTCTAGATCCTCAATTGTGAAATTTTATGATAATGTGCCTTGGTGTAGCTTTTTCTTTTCCTTTCCATTCATTGTGGTGGGTACTTGGTAGGCCCTTTCAATCTGAAACTCTTGCTCTGAAGTTCTGGACACTTTTTTGGTATTATATTATTCCTTTAATAATTTCCTCTCCTCTTTTTTGTCCTCGATAGAACTAACATCAGTCAGACCTTAGACCTCACAGACCAGGGTGGGGAACCTGTGGCCTTCTAGGTCCTCAAGGGCGGCCTTTTGACTGAATCTAAATTTTATAGAACAAATTGTTTTATTTTTATTAATACATTATGAGATGCAGAAGTTTTCAAACCGAATGATTACTACCAAACAAATTAAAGCAAATTCATATTGGAAAAGAAAAGAACTTTCTAAGTGAACAT